ACAACCACCACATCCCCCAACACCACCCACCAACACACCCACCACAACACCCAAAACACACAACCAAAACAACACGAAAAACAACACACCACCGCACCACCCCACCCACACCCACAGACCACCCCCTCCCCCCCCAGCCCCCCCCACCCACGCACAAAACGAAAAGACCAACAGCCAACCAAATCCCCTCCAACCTGACATTAAAGTAGGAGAAGTACTGCATGACGAAGTGTGTTTGTAATGTAGGTCAGATGTTAATAAAGCGACGGCTTTAGGTATTTCTTTGATTTTCTATGTAACACGGCCGTAAATAATAAAAATGGTTGTCGCTGCATTTTCACGAAGAATGAGCAGTCTATGGAGCTATTGCTCTAAAGATAACATGCAGAAAGTAGAAAGATTGTTGTAGGCACGAGTTTGATTGCCGTCTGAATCCCGGGTGTCACGGTCCTGAGCATCCTTCAGAGTAGCTCAAGAAACGGCGGTCTTTGCTAGGGTTAAGAGACCTTGACGTATATTGACGTTGTATGTGGTATGTTGGCGGTATATTGGACGTTAGTCACACAGCCTGGTCGCGGTTAGGATCTGCCAGATAGCTCTAGCCTCTGAGTAGCGTACTCATAGCCCACGTACAGTTGCCGGCAGGCCTGCACGGCAACTGTTACCGCCGGCTATAAGTAGTTGAGCTACTGACTACTAGAGCTAGAGACGGTCGTGGAGATAAGCTCTAGTACGTATAGCCCGCGTACAGTTGCTGCAGGCCTGCGCAACTGTACGCGCGCGCCTATAGTAGTTAAGTACTACTACTAGAGACTTAGGTCTGACAGATTAAGCTCTAGCTACTATAGCCCGCGGATAAGCTGCCGCAGGCCTGCGAGCCACGCTATCAGCGGGCGTTATCAGTACTACGAGCTAGGTCTGGAGATACAATGACTAGTGCAGTAGTGCGTTCGATTTGCTTCCAAGCAGCCACCCTGGGTATAACTGGGTAAGAAATCGAAAGATCTGCGGGTTAGCGAAAGATAAACAAATGCGTTTTTTGGTTAACCCGGGCTTAATTATCAATCATGGGATGCCGAGTCGACAAGAAAAAAAGAATAGCACAGGGTTGCTCCCAGGGATGAAATTCAACAGGGGGGAGGGCGAGGGGTAGGGGTGAGGCGGGACGGGGGGGAAACTAGCGGGGGAGGGGGGAAACTAGGGGGTCCGTAGGTGGGCGTGTATTTTTACCGTTGACGACTTAGATTAATGCGTAAAGATCGGCACCACACCATAGTACGCGTATTTGGGTTTCTTGCTATATATAAGGATAGCGCAGTCGGTGTACAGTTAGTGACAGAGTTAACTTGATGTACGTGTCTGCAGCTAGTCTGCAGTGCATGCGTGTGTACCGGCTAAAAATACACGCGTCGTGATGTCCTGGCTCGAACGGCAATTCTTGAGCGGTCGATTCCCGCCGCTGGAAAACTTTTTATCTTGTGGTGGAATTAAGAACGGGCGGAGGTATCTTCAAACGTGGGCGCAACATTCAAACAGGGGGGACGTTTTCCAAACGGCGGCGCGCGCCCCCTTGGGAACGGTAGGGCAAGAAACCCTGTAGCAATTGCATCTTGATTATTTATGAAATCTCAAAGAATGAGCAGAACCACACGCAGTCATCCGACAGTCATGCTTCATTACTGCTTGAAGATTTTATGATTTTGAAGATTTTGAAGATTTTGTGTGCAATGAATGCTGGGATACTTCCCAAGGTGAGTGGGTCAGGCATGACGGGGTTAACTTCGGCCTCACCCGGTAAGCAAAAAATACCAACGGTTGACTACCAAATCAAACGTATTTTTTGGGCTGGCCGAAGGAGAACCGCAGGTTAACTTGGTGAAAGCAAAATCGAACGCACTATACCCAGTTCTAATTACCACCAGCCACGGGTCGAGTGCCGTGACTGCGCAGTAGCCACTGCGTTGTAAAGCGCGCAGTCAGCATTTGGGGAAAATGATACTGCCGCACTCCGCACGTCAGGCGGGTCTGTACTGTAGGTTCTGGACCGTAGTGCCTGCGATAACTAATACAGCTATACTATACTGATTCTTAGGCTCATAATAAGCAGGAGATACTCAACATAATCATGTTACAATTGCTACCTTACTACGAATCGAGTTCGATACCGCGAATCGAATCATTCGATCGGTCGATCGAATCATTCGATTCACGGCAATTTTGAACAGGGTGCATCGTTTCTCCCCAGTGGCCGCTGAGCCGCGTTTGTCGCTAGAAGCACGAGACACTTACTTTGATCACGGGCCGACCGCTACGTACCATGCTGACATACTCTTCCCGTCTCTGTTTTGTACACTTGCCCCTGACACTTGGTTGCGTTCCGCATTCCCATCACTTCCCTTAGGGCGTGTTGGGCATTTTGCCCGCTTTACAATATATTTGTGCATTCTGCGGGCGGCCCGGTGGAGCACAAAAGACACTCGATCGCTCGCCCTCTTTCTCTCCTCCCTCCCCCCTCACTTCAGTCACTACTAACATTACACTACTAACATTACCAACACTGTTATGTGTTATCAAAATTAACACGAAACATTGTGTTGTTAAACACGTAATGTTATACTTTGTATCAAGCAAGCCAGACAATGCGTCTAGACATGTACGTTTGCAGCGTATTGTGCAACCCTGGCCGTATGTAAAATGAACGCGCGCATTATGAATATATAATTTTTATAGAGGTTGGACACCGGACAACCACGGAAGCAATTTGTAGTTGCCCGAGAGAAAATCCAGTCGTCACGGACGACCGGACGACTGTTAAAATTGAGCCCTGACGGCATGCAATGCGCCGCCATTATTTTTTGTATAAACTGGCACATCCTCCCAAGATTTACATTTTGCGAATTTTGATATCACACTTTCCCACCTGCTCTTTATTCTTGTTGTTTGTGCACAGCAGCATGCATGTGGTTAGCTCTAGTACTATAGCCCGCGTACAGTTGCCGCTGGGCTATAGCATCAGCCATTAGGGATGCACGGGACCAACTTAGTCATGCGTACTCGCGGCTATAAAACGTCTGTGGTAGGCAATTAATGCCTCTTATCTGAAGTGAATATGTCTTAAGTTATAACCGCTACTAAAATTTAACCTCTAACTATCGTTGCAATGGTCTACTTGCGGTATTTCTGGTGAATGAACATTCGATTTGCGAACTTCAAACGGCCATTTTTGGCGGTGCTGCAGCAGGCCAGCAGCGCCAGTGAGCGGGAATTATGTATTTCTGCACGTGGATTTTGGTTGTGGACAAAAACATTGTTGTTGTCAAGTAACAAATTAAGCGATCAAAAAAGATTGTAATATTAGTTTTGTCATGCAAGATGAACAAATTACTATTATTAATTTGTTACTTGACAACAACAATGTTTTTGTCCACAACCAACACAACCCGCCCACACCTCCACGTGTGGAAATACACTTTCCCGCTGACTGGCTGGAGTAAGTTGGTCTCGAGCATTTGTAATGGCTGAAGCTATAGCCCAGCGGCAACTGTACGCGGGCTATAGTGTTGCCTCTGGGCTATAGTACTAGAGCTAGCGTGCGGTGTACTTTTGTGTTGCAGAGGAGCATTTGAACGGGATTTACAGGAAATTATTGGCAATAATAGGCAAAATTGACTAGTGAAACATAAGTTTTTATTTTGAGATTGTTCCTCAGAAACGTTCGTACTGAAAAAATATAGCGAAATATAGTCTCACCTCACAGCGGATAAATCAGTGATTACGCCAACTTAGATTCTATGCAGTTATAGCATAGAAAATTGGATTTGAATACAACGTAACACCATGGCATATTTGAATAGAATGAGAATCAATTTACAAATAGCGCCTTCAAAACAAGACCACCCATAGTGCACCTGATTACAACCAAAGGGCATTAAACAACTTAAACTGCAGACCTCCGTCTGCCCCTCCGATTCACAATGTAACAATAAATACTCGAAATGGTCCGATTGCGAGACTCCGCTCAAACATCAATACGCCCACCCGTCTACCAGATTAGTACTAAATAAACAAGTCCTGGAACACACCTAATGTCTACTCTAATAATCCTGATGAAAACTAGTTCCCAGAAACAATCCTATATAGCTGCTAAAAACACCATAGATCTGTGAAATATATGCTACATTAACCAGATGACAGAACCGGATATATCTGTGCCAGATTGCCAGATATTCTATGTAGGTGATCACTACGCAGATTGTGACAGCAATTGGCAGTATGTCATAGATAAGCATCAATGCATGCAGGGTGCGAATTTTACGGGAGTCCGGAGTCAAATACTCCCTGATTTACTGTCGGACGCCCTGATTTGACATATGCAGGAGTCCGGGTGACTCCTTGAAAATTGTGCCATGCATGCTAACTAGTTCGTTCTGGAGCACGGCCTCGCAGAATTACTGTATTTTTTCAGCTAATGTTCAAAGAAAATTTGGCAGACGTGCAACTGCATGAATCTTAAAAATAAGCACACGTATGCATTATTGTTTTAATATCTTTGATTTTGAACCTCAGACTGCGGACTCCCTCATTTTGCTGCGAACTCCCTCTTTTTGAGGGTAGGGAGTCCGTTGGACTCCCTTGTTCTAAAGTTAATTTCTACCCCTGGCAGGCTGGCATACATCACAAGCTTTCTCTGTTTTCATCCTGCCAGTCTGTCAGCCTGTAAGATCTATGATGTGGATAAGTGAAACTGCATGAGTGATTGCCCAGTGCTACTTGACTCCAATAACATGATGGCGGTAGCATAGATTGTAGCTCATGTTATATCATTTGCTAGACATTGAAATTTTATCACTGCAAGTATGTGTTGTTTTCATCACGTCATGTTATTGCTGCTAGTAGTGTGGTTTCGTATTTCTATTATATATACAACTAATATATATATTCTACTATATTACATATTTCCTATTTGTGCTATTGAATATTGTTGCACTTTCTCATTTCAGCTCTGCTGATGAGGGGACCTTACAAATTTAAATGAAAGATTTTCTCTGCTGTTGTGAGTACATCAATGTTAAAGGAGATAGATCACACATAATGGCCATGTGCTGTGACTGTGAAGAACTTGACAACATTGCAGATAGGTAACGTATAGCCATAGTAATGCAGGGTTCTTCCCAGGCCTTTAATGCTCGGCAGGCCCGGCGACCTTACTTTACCTTCAAAGCTAAAGCTAAATCGCAACATCCCATGACTCTTCTGCCTGGCTCAAGTACCTAATTGACATGCCAGCATTTCCAGCTGTTTACTTTCGAGAATGCCAACATAGTTATGCTGTTTTCAAAGCTTGATGTAAATATCTCTGAACTGATCTTGATGACTTGCATATTGGGGCCGCATATATGACTTGCATAATCGACTCCAATTAGCAGTTGAGGATGAATTGCCTGGCGGCCTGATGTGTCTTCTGAGACTCTCGGGGGAACCCTGTAATGAAACCTTGTAAACAAGGATACTATGCAAGCCAGAGTTTATTGCATAGAAATAGAAATACACATAGAATTGCAGGGTGCGAAATTAACGGGAGTGCGGAGTCAAATACTCCCTGATGTACTGTCGGACTCCCTGATTTGACATATATGCAGGAGTCCGTGTGACTCCCTGAAAATTCTGCCATACTAACTAGTTCGTTCCGGAGCACGGCCTCACGGAATTACCGTATTTTTTCAGCAAATCTTTAATTTTGAACTTCAGACTACGGACTCCCTCATTTTGCTGCGGACTCCCTCTTTTTGAGGGCAGGGAGTTCGTTGGACTCCCTTGTTCAAAATTTAATTTCTACCCCTGAATTGACATACCCAGAACCACGTGCGCAGTGAGTCTCATGGCGTTCGTATGTCACCATAGATGTTTATGTATACACACCTTATGAAAACCTGGCGTTTTTCTTTTGTTAGGTTACAAACTGTTGCTGATCATTTCTCATTTATATCAATTATATCACTATTGTGTAAAACAGAGATGTTTGTCAAACTTTCGTAACTATGAACGTTACATTTGGATGGATGGATTATTTACATAGCTATTAGTATATACATCACTTCCAAGTAAAACTAGTAGGCTTGTGTTGGTGATAACGAGTCAAGATGGCTACATTATTTTATTAAGCATTCATTGATCCTTGCAGTACAGTCAAATTCTCTCAAATGGAAAAACAGAATCTTTGCAGAATTGCATTCCAATCACTAACTCTGCACCTCCGCAGAAAAATGACGTTTGCAACCACATGTTATGTAGTAGGCCTATGCGTGTGGCGCAGGGCATTTGGTTATATATGTAGATATATGGCTTTCATATGTTTTTTTCTATTTCTCTTTATGGTAAAACGCATTGTTTAAATTATTATGTTTTCATTCTGTTGTTTGCTTCTTTGTTTTAATTCATTACGCATATAGTGCATTGTATTTTCGTTTCATATTTTAACTAATTTCCATTCTGTTGTGATTGTATAGCCTGATGAAGAGAGATACTCTCGAAAGCTTGCTGATTAAAATTTTACACCTCATTCTATTTTCCCATATTAATTTTCATTATTACATGGGTGTCCATTTTTACTAACGTTATCCATGGGTGTACGGTATTCTGATTCTACGTATTTCTTTTTGTTTTAAACAGATGTCTGTGTTGCAAGGACCAACCTGGCAATTATGGATTATTTGCACAGCCGTGTTTAGATCGAATACGCATACCGTGGATTGGAGGTGCAGTCAAAGTAAATCTGGGCATGATATGTCCCATGTTTCTGATACCATCATTCATAGGCCTGGCTGCAACCAGTTGTACAATGACTGTCATTGTAGCTGTTTCCCTGCCAATTGTCTTCTTTTTACTCTACATAAATGTAAGTGTTTTACGTAAGAGGTTATTTAGGTTATTTCTTTTTATTATTTTATGTTTGTCATAAACTGACTAGTCAAAACAGTAAAACGTATTCTTCTTATTTTCCTTTTATACAGAGGTAATGTAGCCTTGTGTAACTGTATTCTACTAGTGGGGGCTTGGCATTGCCTGGGCTTATTTGGTAGCAAAATGTGATGTGGTCATACTTGAAGTGAAAACACTAAAGATGAAATATCACTAGAATATATATACATTAAATTGTGTAGTCAGTGAGTGAATAGAAATAAGGCTTCTGGATAGACAACATTAAATAGCGTAGCATGAAAGGCGACTATAATAAAGACAATAGTTATACAATGTTCAGTGAGGAGAAATGTGTAATTAAAGGGTTAACATGAGAAAACGCAAGGCAATGTAACGTAACATAATTATTAAATATAACATACAGTTGGCTAACATACAATATAGCATAAGTGAGGCTATGAGACCACAAATTAGCTTGACATTATGTTAGCATAGCAGAGGATAACCAGCTGACCATGGAATAGTAGTGTGATACAGCAACAGTGATAAGTGCATACAGACAACATAAGCACACTGCCATGTGACATATTGTAGTGATGTTCATTTCATCTTATATATAGAATTTGTTCTTACATGGTGTGTGGTGTGTGCCAGTGATGATCACAGACATAGAGTATAAATATTGATAGGTTTATTACCTCCGCCAAGGGGTTGGCAGGAGGTTATGTTTTCATCGGCATGTGTTTGTTTCTTTGTGTACAGCCTAACTCAAAAACCTATGGACGGATTGTCATGAAATTTTCAGGATAGGTCAGAAATGGGGTAACTTAGAATTGATTACATTTTGGTGATGATCCCGATCCAATTAATCAAATTTTCAGGATAGGTCAGAAATGGGGTAACTTAGAATTGATTACATTTTGGTGGTGATCCGGATCCACCAATTAATTAATTAATAAATTAAATTTTTAGGATAGGTCAGAAATGGGCTAACTTAGAATTGATGACATTTTGGTGGTGATCCGGATCCAATTAATTATTTAATTAATTGATTAATTAATAAAAAAAAAATTCACAGTGAGAGAATTGAGCTGCCTTGGCAGAGGTCTGCGCTTTTCGAGTGCTCTAGTTCTATATATGTTACGACAGACATAGACTGCAACTTGCACCTCTGCATGGGCATGTCATGCTCTCACCCAATCACAGGCCCCGTACCTAGCCACAAGTCCCCTTCTCGCTTTACGCTATGTGGCGAGAAGTTCATAAGCAGATGCAAGTGAGAAAACCTTGTGGCTAGCACAGCGCTGTATCAAAACCTACTAATACCTAACTTTTGATGGTTCCTATAGCTTCTCTATACTTTCACACCATTGTTAAAGGAATACTTAATAGGATAACTTAGCATAACTAAGGCTGTGTCGTTGCTTACAATGATAATGGCGACACTACTATCCATAGACATAGACATAGACATTAGATATTGACTCTTTCTCTAGCATTGACCTTAGGAGCTGGAAACGATCATTTCTGGTCTTTGCCAAGGAAGCTAAACTCACAGGGTTTGATGGGGAAACTAACCTCTAGTTTGATATCTTCTAAAAGAAGGAGATGTGAGATAATGCAAAACTCGTTTAATTCTTGTCACGTACAAGAGAGGTCGTTAGAGGAGATTGTGGCACGTCTCTCAAGATATGGTCATCTCAGTTTTTCCTTGTTTGTTCAATTTCTGTCAGCATAAATGATTTTTTGCAATTTCCAGGCTCCATATATGGCTGTAATCAGCCGTGTAGTTCATTATGAGATCTGGCACCCATGCACTGACATTGTGCTTATAGAACCTAGTATAGATAACGCCATTGTAAATGCAAGCCATTTTACGCCGATCGCATTATCGTGACGTAGAGATTCCTTGATTCAAAGCCTAAAATGGTTATTTATTGTAAAAATGAATAAGACAAGTTAATTCATTGAGTTTTGGATCTTTGATTGAGTATTTGGTTCTTTAACAGCTGCACGAGCTTTCACAATAATTGGACGTTTTATTTATGGGATCGTGAAAATGCTATGTGTAACCTTCTTCATAGAAGACAAGTAATTAAAATTTCAAGAATTATGATTAAGAATTCACACTACCACCGTGAATTACAAGTTTGTAATGTCAGAGTAAGCATAATTATCAACTTAATTAAATTTTTAAATAGTAGAGGTTTGAATGCATGGTAATAAGCTGCTGAAATACTAAGGATTTCAGACAATGTAATTTGTAGTTGTATCTTACTTCTTTTTTTATCCATTTCAGTTTTTGCGATTTCATCCGAAATCCAGACTCTTCTGCTCATGGTTCTGGTCATCGTGTGGATTCCTTCTATGGGTACTTGAGTACATGGTAATGGCATACCGTGAAATCCTGCTCTCAGAAAACCTGGCACTGCTATTTCTGGTTGGAGTTGCCATTTACTTTTACCTTCTCACAAAAGGTAATCCCGGAATTGTTGGACACAGCACTCGTTTTGATTCGTCTGAAGACTCGGCCAGAGATACTGTGCTAGATATTAACACACCGAAAGTTGGCATTGTTGAAAGTGAAAGCCAGTCGCAACCTGCAGTGGATGGGCAGAGACGTGTGTCGTGCAATGTTTGTAAGATTGAGCAGGGATCACGCACATCTCACTGTAAACTATGTGGAGTATGTATTGACAGACGTGACCATCACTGCTTGTGGTAAGTGTTAGCTTAAAGTTTTAAAGGAACACATGACCCCTAACTTCCTTGCATATTTTGAGTTAAAATAGGTTTAAATTATGCCACATAAAAATGTCATTGTTTAGTATTCATTAGAAATAATTTTTCTAAATGTTTTAAAACTGACAGCTTTACTGTTGCTTACAACGAGGGTGGTGCCACTACAAGCTCAACACAACTTTATTGCTGATGGCTACTGACCAAGGGTGTTTCTTATTCATAAATTTAAGAGGAGAAGGATTGCGATATCTTATAAACAACTCGTGGTTTCAGTTATAATATGAAGAAATTTGTCCGATTACACCTATTTCAATCTGAAAAATTACCCAAAATATTTCTCAGGAATGCGTGAGCATATAGCAGATGTTGAGAGCTAAGTGAATTAAATTGTGATGGTGAATGATTAACACAAACTGTTATTGCTGAAAGTAATAAATATTGAGCTTATTTTTACAATACAATTTTATAATTAAATGATATTAATTTCATCTATTTGTAACTGTGGTTCTACTGATTGCTTCCAGGATCAATCACTGCATTGGGGCAAACAATCATCGTTCCTTCGTCTTGTGTCTGATGTTCTTCACATTGGCCTGCAGTTATGGTGCACACCTCACTATGACCACAGTGTGCACGCCAGACATGTATCTTGACTATTTCCTGCTCCCTGTAAACTGTCAATTTGTCTACAGCGATATGCAGTGAGTGCTGATACAGCTTTCTGTAGTTTAAGGAGGGGTACCAATATAGAGATTGATCTTATAGGAATTGCAAATATATGCAGCAGCTCATATACATTCCCACAAAGAAATTCTTTACTTCGTTTTTTTTTCCTTTACACACTTATTCTATAATTGTGTAGCGAAGATAAAAATATAATTAGACAATTTATTCATAGAAACTAAACTTGAAACAATCAACTTTGAAATTTTGACATTGTACAGGTGACATATTGTAAGAATCTGCTGAGAATAACAACTGTATTTTACACTGCAGCATTGGCGTGTCTTTCGTCAGCGCACTCTACGCTGCACTGCTAGCAATCCTGGGAGCCATGTGTTTGGTACAACAGTTCATGCTGATCTGTCGGAGCCTGACAGTTTACGAGTGGCGTAAAAACCGCTATAATGCGCTCATCGGCTGCAATATGGGGTGAGACCACCTATACTACTCGTGCTTTTAGACACAAACTAAAAGAGTAGAGTGTGTTAACGGATCTTTAACACACTCTACTCTTTTAGTTTGAGACTAAAAATAGGGATTCATAAGTGTGTCTAAATGTAAGTAACCTATTTGCTATCCTGCATTCCATGAGAGAACCTTGTCTCTTCTGATAAATTGCTCCTTTTTTCTAGGTGCAAGACATTTATTGGTGTGTAATGTTGTACATCTTTACTAAGATCAGAAGTAGATAATAGGGAAGGAGTGTGACTTCAATAAACAAGGGAAATTCGTCATTTACTAGCCTTAGAATACCTACGATTTACTACGCGTAACTCAACCAAACAGTACATTTGCCTAGCATCATGCGAAATCGTTTCCTCGTATACACCCGCAATCCGGAGATACAGACTAAAAGGTATGACACGATTTTTCATTCTGTTGCCAGCAAAACGAATCCATAACCCGCTAACTTGAAACAAAGGGCAGCTACTAGTACTAACGACTCTTGCGCACTCTAGTGCCCTCGGCGATGCGGTGTGGCTCGCTGGGAGATTGGAGCTGGAGCTGCTGCTGATTGCAGTGGGCGTGCGTGCGTGGGGGGCATACCAGCTGTAAATATGTCAAAGATTAGCTCGCCGAGTGTTGCGTCGATGTCCAATCTCCCAGTGAGCCACACCGCATCGCCGAGGGCACAAGAGTGCGAAAGAGTTGTTAGTAGCTGCCTTTTGTTTCAAGTTAGGCGGGTTATGGATTCGTTTTGCTGGCAACAGAATGGAAAATCGTGTTGTACGTTTTAGTCTGTATCTCCGGATTGCGGGTGTATACGAGGAAACGATTTCGGACGATGCTAGGCGAATGTACTGTGTACGATTTGAGCTCAAGTTGGTTGAGTTATGCGTAGTAAATCGTAGGTATTCTAAGGCTAGTAAATGACGAATTTCCCTTGTTTATTGAAGTCACACTCCTTCCCTATTATCTACTTCTGCTAAGATGCATTCCCATTTATGTGTATTTCTGTGTGCATTTGTCTACATGATTGCATGCCTGAACATATATAGCACAGTTACTGAATTGCTTAACTGTTATACACCACACCGTTGTCGCAGTGACACTATATCTATATCCAGTTTTAACAGGCATAGTTTTTAGCTCGCCTTGACATTGTCAAGATGGGCTATTGCCATGGGGTGTCGTCCGTCAGCATTTTGCTACGGTCAACGATAACTCAAGAACCGTTTGACCCAAATGTTTCAAATTGCATATAGTTGTTACTCCTATGGGAGAGATGTGAACGCCCTATTCTAGAGCACGCCAGTCGACCTACATTCGAGCCACGTCCACTTTTTGGCAAAAATGGAAATGGCCATAAGTCAATTCAGGTTCAATGGATTTTGCTCATTTCTAGTATGTGAATGAATGAGGACTGGCCCCAAAACATATCACACAGGTTTTGATTTTTTTTTTTTAATTATGCAAATTAGATCGATTTTGGCAATTTCACTATGCATTTCAGTGTCTGCCTACGGTCAACGATAACTTAAGAACCGCTTGACCCACATGTTTCAAATTGCATGCAGTTGTTACTCCTCATAACATAATGTTACTCTTCTGGGAGAGGTTTGAACGTCCTATTTTGGAGCACGCCAGTCGACCTACTTTCGAGCCACGTTCACTTTTTGTCAAAAATGGAAATGGCCATAAGTCAGGTTCAACGGATTTTGCTCATTTCTAGTATGTGAATGAATAAGGACTGGGCCCAAAACATATCACACGGTTTTGATGTTTTTTTTAAATTATGCAAATTTGGTAGATTTTTTTCAATTTCACTATGCATTTCAGTGTCTGCCTACGGTCAACGATAACTCAAGAACCGTTTGACCCACATGTTTCAAATTGAATACAGTTGTTACTCCTATGAGAGAGATTTGAACTTCCTATTTTGAAGCATGCCAGTCAACCTACTTTCGAGCCACGCCCACTTTTTTGCAAAAATGAAAATGGCTATCTAAATTCATTCGATTTTGTTAAATTTTGGTATGTGAATGTGTAAGGCTAGCCCCAAAACAGTTGTTACTCCTATAGGAGAGATGACAACATCCTAATACGTTTATTTCGTCTAACTGGTCAACAACTCTACAATCATACGTGTAATATTGTGTTTTAAATTCTTCGCTACAGTAATTTGACTGGAATATTTTATTGTTTTTATTTGCGCGATATTCGAAAACCAAAATGGCGAACATTTAGGCGTAGCGCCATCTCTCGTCAATATTTCAGACTTTCAGATCTGAAACATTTATTTTCGCATCAAAACTTATGCATATATCATTATCAAGAGTATATAATGGGAGATATATGCTATATAATTGGAGTTCTCCCATATATACTCTTAATTATATTATCCCCCCCTCCCTCTTCTATTACACCCAAGGTGAGCTACAGTGTCATTGACACTTTCATTTCTTTACAGGTCGCACCAAAACCTTGGATGTATCAGAAACTGTTGTCAGTTCTGGTTTCAATCAAGGCCAGGTCATTACATCAGCATCACCGAGGTGTAAAGCTGTCACATCTGCACCTGCATCATCTAATGCTATTAATAGCATTTTGTTTTGTTCATGCATTACAATGTTTAATATAACAAATATTCATTTGCATGATATATGTCTGAACCTATTTCATCTTACAATTATTGCACTGACGTTCTGTTACATAATCTGTGTTAGTTATGTTGTTTCAGCATCATACCATGCAAATTCAACAGGTTCAAACACTTCCATTACAGCTGATTCGAGTCCACAAAAATGGTATTATGAAATGGTATTGTATAACATTCTAGTATAATAGATTCTTTAAATTAGTTCCATGTAATATATTTTCTCACTTTGAAATCAGCGACAGAAAATTCTAAGTGACATGTAGTAAAGTAAGTTACCATGACGTCATTCACCATTGAAATGAAGTTTCGCAACCAGAAAATATGTGAGTAACTGAGTGCTGAAATACGATGCAAAAATGCCCAGTGTGTTTTCCTTTTAAGGTAAAATATTTATTAAAATTATTTTCCAATGTTTAAACGTGTTGGAAATCGATTGCTTATAACACTGGTGATGCCATTGTTTGTACTGCTAGCTCACAGTCTGAAACATATTTGACATTGTTATGGAAGTTCCTAATGGATTCTCTTTTTTGTAAAATTATAAATTTGAATGTCTGGTAACAGCTATTTGTCAGCATTACTATTTTTATGCAACCATGTATCACAATATACTGTAAAATTCTAGACAGGTATACCATGTAGCGCAAAGGTTAGGACACAGTGAAGTGGCGATGAGCAGCTGTAAATTTGATGATATTGCTAGAAAATTATATTAGTTATGAGACTTTTATAGGCGACTTGGGAAAATGCTTGAAAACAGACATGACATAAGACAAAGAGCTTATAATCATCATCATAAGCTCTGCGTTTAAGATAAATAGTGCTGACGATAGTGTAGATATTTTACAATTTCTCTGCTATTTGATGAGCAATATATAGTAAGCAGTGAGAACAAGATGTTCGCATCTCACGCAACGTGGCTGCACAAAGCATAAATTTTACTATGATTTTACGAATAATTAGTTGATCGAATTGTGTTGACGATAAGAATGGGCATATCTATAATAGTAGTAATACATATAACATATACAATATATATATATATAATATTATTATATATATAATTAATGCATAATCAAATAATAAACGAGCAAGGAAAGCTTGTTTATCCTAATAAAATTGGGGGATGGGGATGAGGGTGGGTATGGGTGGTGTGGGGGGTTACGTGTCCACCACATAGAATGTATCAGGGAAACACAAGTTCACACATTAAAGATCATATTAATACCCTGTTATTACCCTGTTTTAATGATGAGAAAATACCACTGTAGAGAATTTATGTGATGATACGGTAATTTCATGCAACCAAGTCAGCATACAAACCTGAAATCAAGTCCTTCCAACTTCAAGCTGCGTTCACACGAGATACACGGCCTCGCTGGTTCCGTACTTATCTGGTGCTGAATTCGGCTGAAATACCGTGCTAACACAACCCGAAGCGTTCACACGAGAATCGAGGCTTAGCTGGCTAGGTATAATATAGACTGGTACCCGGTCGACAGTTCCACACGCTACTGCGGTGCGCAGTTGCGGTGCGCTGTTGGCGCGCGCAAAATATCTATCATGTTTGATTTTTCTGGCTCAGCGCCGCCGAATGCGCACCGTGTGCGGGGGCCTTTAGCATATCAAAAATATATATAAAAAAGTGGGCGGAGCTTACTTTAGGCCAGTGGCAGTGAACCTTAGTTGGCAGTGAACATTGTGTTGGCCAGGGTCTATAACGTGCACGGGTTGCGCGGCACGCTTCACGTGCGCTACGATGTGGAGTTGGGCGCTCATACTGACATCCCCATATATTTCACGTTTGGATGTAAACAATAAAGTGTCACTGGTAATTAACAAACGACCAGTATACTGTTTTAAAATAATACAAAAAAGATTTAGGTAATATAGCATGCTGAATTATACAGTAAATAATAATAATACATGCAGCTTTTCGCACTACACAGGTTTAACCGTCTCATATTATGGTTTTGAATGTTTGGAAAAAAGATATATATTTTATACAGGGTGAAGCTAAATAATAGCTTCCCTACATTATGACCAAACGTGGTTTACGTAAAACACCTCTCAGTGGTGTGCTTTATCATTTGCATAGCGTCCTGTCTCCCAATATTATGTACGCCATGTAGCATATCAGGCAGAATATTGGCATCAAGAATAATGTCATATAAATATCGAATTGGCAATCAATGTTGGCTTATCAAAATCCCAAAGCAGCTCTCAAAGACACATTGTACAAGCATATGAACTTTATTATATCGTTGCTCTGCTGCAGTTCTTTGGTTCGCGTAAGGTATCATCAAGCAAGCATTTATGAACTAGCCACCGTCTCCTAATAGCCACCCATCTCCTATAGCACCATTTTCAAAGAGTGCGGTGAGAGCAAAGTTATTTAAAATATACACGGCAACTCAATTAAAGAGACGGGAGAATAGAAATATTTCCGCAGTGGAAATAGTCTTCATAATTTATGAAGTGGGACAGAGAAAGAGGACTACGTTTGAAGATTTTGCTGGCAACTTAGCAGCTGTAGTTAAGGACGTGGCAAGCTGTGACTGAAGCTGTCAATGCCGTATCCAGCAAGCCACGAACTCAAGATGAGGTGAGTGTATGGGCGTGTGCGTGTAGCGTCGTAACTGTAGGTGATATGAGGTGAGGTGTGTGTGTGTGTGTGTGTGTGTGCGTGTGCGTGGTGGCGTGTGCGTGTGCGTGTGCGTGTGCGTGTGTGTTCAGCTTCATGTCTGCCAAGCCATACTCAACCCTATATTCACTGAGTTGGCTGGTGGCACTAGATGTTTCCATTACTCAATCTTTGAATTTGCTTCTGCCAAATGAAATCAACTAACCGACGCTACAGAGCGTTGTTTTTCCTCTCCAGCATCAACGAGGTTATACACGAGGATAGCTCGCACTGAGATATATGTCCCAAACATTAGCTTTATGATATCATTCAAGATCTATGATATATATACACACAGTAAATGACCATCAGGTGTGTGTGTGGTGTGTGTGTGGTGTGTGTGGTGTGTGTGTGTGTGTGTGTGTGTGTGGTGTGTGTGTGTGTGTGTGTGTGTGTGCCGTGCGTGCGTGCGTTGCGTGCGTGCGTGAACGCGTGCGCGTGTACGATGATGATGGAGACGTGTCTCCAGCAGCACCCCGGCGAGCCCTCTCCCCGGAAGCTATGGATTCTGTGCAATACAAAACACATTTGGTGACATTTCCTGATAATATAGAAATTTCGAAAATACCACAATCTATTTAATTTGTACCATAAAAACTTGGATAAAACAATATTATACAAGAATATTTAACAGCATACATAGTTAAGATCAATAGATGCAATTCACTTTGATAAAACTGTAAACAAATTTTTTTTTTATAAATTTCAAAAACAATTTCTGGATTTTTCTCAAAACGGAAATCGGTATACAGACGGACAGTTAACACCCATGTTATTAGCGTTTGTTTCGGTATCTTTGAATAAAATGCAGTTTCGAAGCTCCGTTATTAATTGTGCGCACGTGCATGCATGGTCGCTAGTGTGCGTACCATACGCACGAAATAAACGAAAAAGAACTCGTTTTTATATAGACTCTATATATAATGCGCGCGTGCGTGCATGTACATATGTATATAATATATATATATATATATATATTTATATCCTATTATCTATCTACTTCTGATATATATATACCTGATATAGGCCTATATATATATATATAGATATGATATCTATATACATGCACGCACGCGCGAACACACAGAAATTACGTTTGAGTAGAAAAATCACGTTATAATCACATTATTATGCTATTTTAACGTTCCAGGACCATATGTTGACGTTACATAAAAAAATCTTACAAATTTTTGCAAAACGTTGTAAAAACCCGACACATTTACGTTGAACAAACGGTGTTAAATAATT